GGCTGGGGGGGGGTGGAGCCACCGGTAGGGATGGACATGGGGTTTTACATGGGAAGGCACACAGGTATAGGGGATGACACAGGCTGCACACATGTGCAGGGGATGCCCACGGGACACATGGACACACGGACACGCGTGTGCCCACCCCCGCGTCACCTGCAGGCGGTCCTTCGTGGGCCGGTGGCAGGCGGTCCTCAGCAGCTGCTGGGTGGCCTGCAGCCAGGTGCAGGCGGTGGCCTCTGGCGGGGTCTGGGGTGCAGGGGTGTCGGCATCACCCCGCACCCCGCGGGTGTCCGTCTGTCCTTCCCTCCCTGCCTCCAGCCCACCATCCTCCATCCCTCCCTCTGTCCCTCCAGCCACCTCTCTGCCCCTCCCTTCCTCTGTCCATCCCTCTGTCCATCCGTCTCTCCCTCTGTCCCACCATCCATCCGTCCCTCCCTCTGACCGTCCGTCTGTCCCTCCACCCCTCCCCTTGTCTGTCCATTTGTCTGTCCCTCCCTCCATCCCTTGCTCCAGCCATCTCTCCATTCCTCCCTCCCTCTGTCCATCTGTCTGTCCCTCCCTCCCTCTGTCCATCTGTCTGTCCCTCCATCTCTTCCTCTGTCCATCTGTCTGTCCCTCCATCCCTCCCCTCTGTCCTTCCATCCCTCCTTTCACCCCTTTGATAATCCATCTGTCCCTCCATCCCTCCCTCCCTCTGTCCCTCCATCCTCCCCTCTGCCCCTCTATCCCTCCCTCTGTCCATCTGTCTGTCCCTCCATCCCTCCCTCTGTCCTTCTATCCCTCCCTTCACCCCTTCGATGATCCATCTGTCCCTCCCTCCACCCATCCATCTGTCTGTCCCTCCCTCCCTCTGTCCCTCCATCCTCCCCTCTGCCCCTCTATCCCCCCTCCCTCCCTCTGTCCCTCCATCCCTCCCTCTCTGTCCATCTGTCCATCCCTCCCTTCACCCCTTCAATAGTGCATCTGTCCCTCCATCCCTCCCTCTGTCCCTCCCTCCACCCATCCATCTGTCTGTCCCTCCCTCCCTCTGTCCCTCCATCCCTCCCTCTGTCCATCTGTCCATCCCTCCTCCCGTCCTTCCATCCCTCCCTTCACCCCTTCGATGATCCATCTGTCCCTCCATCCCTCCCTCCACCTGTCCATCTGTCCATCCCTCCCTCCATCTCTTCCTCCGTCTGTCCCTCCCTCCCTCCATCTCTCCCTCTGTCCATCTGTCCGTCCCTCCCTCATCTGTCCTTCCATCCCTCCCTCCCTCCCTCCCCGTCTCCCTCTGTCCACCCCTCCATCCATCTGTCCCTCCATCTGTCCGTCTGTCCCCCTGCCTTTGCTCCCACCACCCCCCAACCCCCCACCTTGGAGTCCTTGCACTCCCTGCTGGCCTCCTCCTCCACGATGGGGATTTTACAGGTCTCCGCTGCGGGGCCAAACTCTGCAGATTTGGGTCAGTTTGGGGCCTCTTGG